CTTTTCAAAGAACGTGATTCCTATTGTACGCTTGGGTTCTACGTTAAATTGGTTATTTTGAAAGTTATATTTGAGGTGGATGGACTTATTTACAATTTTAAATGATTAATGAACCGCAAAATAAGAAAAAAATAAATTTTTTTTTACAAATAAAAGAGATTCATACGTTTTGAAAGCACTGATGATACAGGCAACAATGCAGTTAAGGGTATAGAAACAGAAACAAAAACTTTTTTATTCTATATAGATATTATAAATAATACTTATTGAAAGTCTTTTTTGTTTAATTAAATAATATATCTATTGTATAACATAGACCTCACCCAAGTAATATCACATACCACGGTCCTAAGCTAGATGCATCCATCGATCCATACAGCTGTAGCGTACCTCTTTATTATTTGACACTTAAATTTTTTGACATAATATTCTATGTTCAATATTTAAATAACCACCACGCTTTTGGGGTAGTGCGACAGACTTTCCTCTGCCTTTCGCATGCACATACAGTAATTACTTGTAGACGTAGATGCCCAGTTGAAGCATGTGTCTAAAATGTTATATTCTCATATACATTTTTCAGCTTAATTGGCTATTAAATGCCTCTTTAAAATTGGTATTTCCTTCTACTTTTACGGGGGCTTTCGATTTTAATTTAACAGGAGTTGCATTTTAAGAGACTTGTTTTTGCTTTGAAAGACAACGCCGTGAGTAAATTGGCAAGAAAATATGTAAGAGGTTGCATTTAAGTCCACACTGATTCTTTCCGTCGAAATATTTTTGTTGCAATTTTTTTTGTCTGTTAGTCTGTGCGCTAGTGCACGACGCTCTGCGCAATGCGTAAACCAATTTGGATACGGTTTCAATGTTTTTATTTTAATAAAACTCATGTGCTAAAGAACAGAAACAGAAGTATTTCTACAAATTTTAAATAATAGTTATTGAAAGTAATTATTTTGTTAATTACCACCGGTTTGGATAAATTCCTCTCTCTTGGGACAGAACCACCAAGAAACTCAACGGGACTCTTTTTAAATATAACAGCTTACAATCAATACATCACACAATTAACAACACAAAACATATTAGAAATAGCTTAGTAGCGATCAACTCATTTTCAGTGATTATTATTATCCATAAATTCCTGAATATTATAATAACCATTTTTTACAAAATAAGTTTAATAAATTAAAATAAAAGATCTAATATTCTACCTGGTGCTAAGTGGCTACTGCAGGCCATGGACACCTGCAGCCGACTTTAAACAAAGAAGGCTACAGAAGCGGACACCACAGCATGAAATGGACACCATTACTCGATAATTATGACAGACTTTAAGATATTTAATCTGTAAACTTTGACTATTATATCTTGATACCAAATTAAATTACCTTTAAGCATAACAAATTTTCTCAAATAGAATAGTTTTAAGCCTATCAAATTGAATTCTACATTTGAAGTGATTGTCACCGCAAATATCACAGTTGGTGATTGTTCAAAGACATGCGCCTCAAGATGTGAGAAGCGAGATTTAATTACTCTAAGTTTGAAACCCTCCAAAATATTGTCTTCATTAAGAGTCTGCGCCCATTGAGGCTTGTTATATTTGAAAAGTTATCTAATAATTTCGAAAAGTGAGTAACCCTATTAATAGTTTCGTTTATGATCTTCAGCGTTTCAAAAATTAACGAGAATGTGATGTTTCCCATTGGGTTAACAACAGAACGATATCGCAATACGATGGAAATTTCTCCTTTATCGTTAAAGTTATAATGTTACATAACACTCAAGACATGCGTCTCTGTGGTAAGGTTAATAATACTTTAAGCATGTTTATTTATTTTGCAGCCACCAAACTCTAAATTTCACAGTACGCGAACCTGGGTTCGATCCCCGTTGGCATTAATAAAATTATGATACATAATTACACTATTGCTATTTACTTCTTTTTAAATATAAAAAGATTCACTGCTGGCCGTATGAGGTCGCTCAGCGAGCTATGGTGAGGGCTATGCTCGGAGTTTCTCTGCGTGATAGACTCAGAAATGAGGATATCCACAGTAAAACCAGAGTGACCGATATAGCCCAACGGATTAGTAAGCTGAAGTGGCAATGGGACGGCCATACAGCTCGAAGAACCGATAACCGATGGGGAAGAAAAGTTTTCGAGTGGCAGCCTCGTACTGGTAGGCGTAGTGTTGAGCGATCACCCACTAGATGGAGTGACGACCTGGTAAGACATGCTTCCTGCATGTCGATGGATGCAGGTGGCTCAAGACCGTGCTTTTGGCATTACTTGGGGGAGGCCTATGTTCAGCAGTAGACTTGTGAAGGGCTGTAATGATGATGATGATAATGAAATATAAAAATAATAATAATTACGGTCGTGATTTCGTGATTTCGTCAACAGTCACAGGATCTAAGGCACCTGCAGATGGTAGCGCAACCCTACGCTCGACCTCCGCTTCGACCTCTTCGAGGTTAGCGGGATCTATGGATTCGCTAGAAGGGGTGCATTGGCTCTCTTAACTGTCCGCGAGGCATTTGGCTTTTTCGGAGTCGTCAAAGGCGAGATCGGGGTTTCCTGGTCTAATGAGAGGTGGCATGGGTGAGGATTTTTCTGCTTTCAGAGCTCGGGTCAACTGCCAGAAGGCAGTATCAAATGGCTTAATATCTGCCAGCAGATTGTCCCACTTGTCCTGTTTATATTCTGTAATGCGCTCTTTTATCTCATTTTGGAGGTTGCGCAGTCTAATTTTATTTTCTATTGTGCGGTAGTGATCGTATTATCTAACGGCCACGTTTTTCGCTCCGATCAGTTGTCGAATGCCACTCGGAAACTTCAGGCGTCGATTGCACGACACGCGAACCTTTGGAGAGCATTCTTCAACTGTTGAAGTGGGGTGGGCCGATAGGGCAGTAATCGCCTTACTGGCTTCCTCTGCCGAGTTCATGTTATTGGGGGTCCTGACTAACTGCTGGGAGGTTGTAGACTCGAGTTTGACCTCGAGCTTACGCCAGTCTACGGTGGTTTTGGTCTGAAAGAACTCACCTTCGGATTGGCCTAGCTGTAGAAGGACTGGTCTATGTTCCGATTTGAGCTCTAGAATTGTCTCTATGGATGCTAATGACAAACAGACATCTTTAAATAACGCTATGTAAAGGATGTCCGGTCGATATCTCGTAGTGAATGGGTAATGGGTTGGAGTCTCAGGCGCGATAACATCGAAGCTTAGTCAGTCCATAAGCTCGAATAATACATTACTATTAAGGTTGTGTGTAAGCGATTTCCAGGAGGAATGCTTACTATTGAGGTCTCCAGAAATTAATATATATCTGTAATAATATATATTAATAATACAAAACAGCCCATAATTAATGCTATAAGAGACGAGAATGGATGTATTCTGAATGATGAACTTTCGAATTTAAACAGATGGAAGGAATACTTTGAAAGCGTGTTTATAAGTGAAGAGTCATCTGAATTAAATGAACAAGAAATTCCGAAAGAAGTGGAAAGGGGTATGGAGATAAGTGTAGATGAAATAATGAAAGCGATGAAAAGCATGAAAGCAGGTAAGGCAGCTGGATATGAAGTTTTTGGCTAAAAACCAGAAAGTTTTTTGTGCGTTCATGGACTTAGAAAAGGCTTATGACAGAGTGGACAGGAATGTGTTATGGCAAACACTGAACTCATATGGGTTGAGCGCTGGTTTGATACAGGCATTGAGGTCTCTTTATAGGGATTCTAGTGCTTGTGTCAGGATCAATGGGGTCTACTCGGACTGTTTTGGCATCCGAAAGGGTGTCAGACAGGGCTGTGAGGCTTCCCCTTGGCTGTTTAACCTATTTATGGACAGGTGTTTGCAAACTTTGAAAAATGAAGAATGTGGGTTAAGAATGGGCGAGTTAACCGTCAAATGCTTTTTGTATGCCGATGATCAAGTCATATTTGCGTCATCGGCGGCTGAGTTGCAAATGATGGTTACATTAATGAACTGGGCATTAAAAGAAAGGGGAATGAAAGTGAACGCAAGTAAGACGAAAGTGATGGTTTTTGAAAGAGAGGAAAGCAAAACGGTATGTGAAATAAGAATAGAAGGAGAGTTAATTGAGCAAGTGGATGAGTTTGTGTATTTGGGATCTGTATTTAGCAGGGATGGTAGATATGATAAGGATATAGAACGACGAGTAAATGCAGGAAATAGAGTGAATGGGGCACTACACTCTATTGTGAAAAACCAGAATGTATCAAAAAAGGCACGTATGGTAATTCATAATGCTGTGTTAGTCCCTACTTTAATGTATGGTAGTGAAAGCTGGGTGTGGCAGAAGAAGCACGAAAGTAGAATAAATGCTGTAGAAATGCGGTCTTTAAGGAGTATGCTAGGGTTGAATCTGAATAAAAGGGTGAGAAATTGCGTGATAAGAGATAAATGTGGTATACAAGATGATGTTGTGAACAGGATTAAGAAAGGAATGCTTCGGTGGTTTGGTCATGTAGAAAGAATGAATGAGGAAAGAGTGACAAAGCAAATTTATATGGCAGATGTGAACGGCAGAGTCGGGAAGGGACGCCCTAGAAAAAAGTTTATCGACCAAATTGGCGATATCTTGAAAATGAGCCACGTTAAAAGTACCCTTAACCGACGAGCATGTATGCGTAAATATATGGATGTAAAGGAGGCGAAATAGGTATGTCAGGATCGTATCAAATGGAAGTCCGTGGTCTCTGCCTACCCCTCTGGGTGACAGGCGTGAGTGTTTATGCTTATGCTATTATACCTATGTTCAGTAATTGACTTTTGACAGGCTACAACGGTTAAAGATATGGTTATACCATCAAGTAGAAGCCATGATAGCTGTCTGCGATTTTTCATATTAGAATCTTACATCAACCACGGGGCTGAAAATAGGGTTATGCTCCCTCACCATACAGGATAGCCTTTATGTGCGTACTTTATATAGGGTGAAAAGAGAGATTCGAACTGTGGCCTTACCTTGACATATGATAGTAATGATTTGTATGATGCTGATTCCAAAGCTCTTGCAGGTACCTCGTGGAAAGATCATGATCGTCCTCACTCTTAGACAGGTGCTCTTACATTTTTTCACTATTTTGATTTTTCAGTATTTTGAGTTGATGATTGGTTCATGGCTGAGTTTTAACTATCTGAAACAAACGAAAACCTTCATTAGTTAAATAAACAACTTTATCACGAAGTATTAAGTATATCCTTCAGCCCAACCCAATCTCGGCCAAGGCGACAAGTCTCAACGGAGAATAGTCCGAACAGCACGCGATTATAGTGCACGAGTGTGTGCGCAAACGCATGAGCAACGATTTTCAAGGCACGAGCGAACAACGCGAACTTCCTTACCACTCCGGGCAGAGAATTTCTAGCGAATCACGGATTATCGCTCTTAAAATGCAATTTATGAGGGAGGTCTATGTTAGCAGTGGGATTTAGATACGCTATAATGAATTGTTGAAAAAAGTTATCGAATATTATTGATTATTATTATGGTCAGAGTAATTAAAAACAGTTACAAGAAGCACTTTTTTCGTAGGTAAATCATGAAGATTTATCTCTGATGCCAGGGTTTATCAGGACTCCGTAGAGTGCGATTTACCTTCTAGGGCTTCATAACCAATTACCACCAGGTAGGATTCTAGTCACGCACTGGCTTATATGTAAAATAAAGATTATGCCAAACACTATCCTTTCTCTTTTGTGTTCTCTTCTTTGCCTTTTGGTATGCTCATAAATTTGTAGATTATTCTCCAGCACCTAGCTTTTCGACGATTTAGGATATTTCGGACCCCACTTTCACCCTTTTCAAGGCCTCTTCCTGTACGCAGAAGTCAGTTGCTAAAATAGCTCCGAATGTTATAAAAGAGTTTATTGAATAATAAATACAATGGTTCTATAGTAAGTATTTATTTGGTAGAGCCATGCTGCAGTTATATTAGTAGTATAGTTGTAGCACGAATGGGTCGGCTCGACCGCGGAAGGACCACGCTCTCACAGAATACCAACGTAAAATAGCAGCTTAATGCTACTGTGTTTTTACTGGAAACGAGGCATTCCACCTAAGTCCTCACAGATGACAACGCATCTGCATTTTGATTCGTAATCGAGTATAGATGTAGATGTCTATGGGTCGCAGCAACCACTTACCACCAGGTGGACTGTGTGCTCGTTTGTCATCCTATCCTAAAAAAAAAGTAAATGCGAAGCTTCAGCCGAAGTTGAAAAACAGTAACCAACAAAGCCCAGCATACGATTAAGTTGCAAAAAGTCGTAAAACGTTAAAGCAGTCGTATAACCCTATGAGAATGTTAAGATACTCATCAAACACATACAAGTAGGCACGAGTACGAGCATGTAAACACTTTGTTCGGGTGTTCTCGCTACTCGGCCCACGATGTCAGTTTTTAGGCATGAGTGAAAGGAATTGTCGTATTTATTCGTTTCGTTTATATACTCATCATTATACGCTTGATCCGTGAACTTTTAAACTTTATTTTCTTGTAAAATAATTTAAAAATAATAATAGTGAACCCACGTACCTACTGTGATGGATTGGAGTAATAAATTAACTACTTTTGTAGAATTTTATCAACGAGAACCCATGATATGGTATCTAAAAATCACTTTTAAATACATATTAACGAAAATGAATGTTTCGTCATCATCATTATGATTACAGCCCTTCACAAGTCCGCTGCTGAACATAGGCCTTCCCCAAAGAATGCCACAAAGCACGGTCCTGAGCCATCTGCGTCTTACCAGGTCGTCACTGCATTTAGTGCGGGGGCGCTTCACACCACCAAATAAGCATTTTGGAGTGTATAAATACGTCACGTAGACAAAAATTCTTGGCAAACAGATCTATGTACGTCATCCATGTTAAAAAGATCTATGTTGAATGAATACACAAGAATATGTGAATGCGTCGTGCTAATCCATGAATAATTCGGTAAGTTGCTCGTACCGATAATGTAAACGTCCTATAAGAACCAACAACTGACGGGAATAATGATTCTCGGGCTGCAATATCCTACCGCTAAGATAAGTTTGCCACTGGAGTTTGACATTGGAGTAGCCACCCATTAGATGGCGTAACAAACTGGTAAAACATGCAGGCATTACATGGACGTAGGTAGCTTAGGAACTCCTATGAACTGAAGTGTCTCTAAAGATGACGTTAAAGATAAATCCTCTATACTTCCAGGGGCTACGGTACCATGACACGGTATTATTGTTCTTATTTATTTAAAAAAAAGATTTATGAACAAGCACACAATCCATTTGATGGTAAGTGGATTCTGTAGCCTATTAACATCTACATCTCTCCTCGATTAAGAGTTACAAACGCAGATGCGTTGTCACCCTTCAGGACTGAGATGAAATTCCACATTTCCAGTTAAAATGTATATTTCGTAATATAAGAAACACAGCTAGAGAATAAATGGTTTTGCATATTAATAATCTGCAAACTTTGACGCTTAAGATATTCCCGTAAGATTAAGATATTCACGTAAGAACGTAGTATATGCAGATACTACAAGATTCGATAGTGTCGACAATCCGATCTAAATCCGTAGACTGCAGTGGTTTAATCGATACTGTCTGGTAGTCAGACTTATATGATATTAGTTTCTAGCAGATAGACATGAAATGGTTATATCTTCCTGTGAAACATTTGAATTTTTTCACGATAATTTTATTTGTATTTCTTTGCCGCTTTCTTTCTTTTTTAAGTGGTCAGCAACTGTTTTTGCGTTTTAAAAATATTCACTACTCCATATCATCTCCTAGGTGTCGTAAGGGGCGACAGAGGGAATTACTTCAGAAAAAATGACCATAATTTTCTTTAAATAACATTTTCTTTGCAAATTATATATGGTTTTATTACTTTTAACTGATACGTTCAATGGTGAAGTGGAGTCTTTTACAATACTCTTACTTCCGGGTAATTTAAAGGTAATAAAACCATACAACTTGCAAATAAATATTCATTTAAATCTATTTTTTTTTTGTCGAGTTTCTGAAGAAAAATTATTTCTATACGTTTGGATACTGGTTCTAATAATGCACTCAACGGTAACTACAGGATTTTGTTATATTATGTTGTATATTATTGCACCTGCCACAAAATCTCCACGGATTAACTGGCAGAAAATGCCGATAGGCATTAAGTGCGTCTTTTATTTTGTTTGTGCATTCCTTTAGGTGTTAACATTAAATATTAATAAATAAATATTAACACAAAAACAACAAGTTGAATTAAATTAACAGCTTTAATCGCTATTATATAATCGTTGGTTGAGAATTAATATTAAATGACTTATTATTAATTCTCAACCACACGATTTATATTCAATTTATAAAAAAAAGAATCAATTAAAATCGTTTAGCCGTTTTCAAGAAATCAGTGAAAATAATTGAAAGAATGTTTCCTAGCGCGTCGAATTTAGTACCATCTCGTTTTTGGAACTCTATTAAAAATTCACAGATGAATTACGCGAGCACTTAATAGTATCGGCACTTAAATACATTAACTAATAGTGTACTTAGTTAATATCCTTATAAAATCAAAAATATAAGTAAAATTCTGTGTTCAATAAATAAAGAAAACATAAACTTTACTGAGCAGACGAATTATTCGCCTTCAACTAGAGACGTATCTAAGGAGTACAAAGACATTTTGAGTAGCTTAAATCGATTGATTTCAGATCGTGGTTGCGACCAAAGCAGACAAAGACATCAGCGAATGGTACAAGTGTTAAAATATAGAGAATTTCCTGCAAGAAATTCAAGTAAAAACTGGTATAATCAAAAGCATAAAATGTTCACAAAACAACCTTTTTTGCTATTTGAACTCACAGCATAGCCTCAGGGACCGCGTCGCGTTCTGATTCTGTATCGCAATCCCTCTGCAGTGACTTCTCGTGAAAAAGACAAACTCCTTCTTTATTCCTGCTCCTTATTACATATCTTTCATTTCCTAGACAGAAAAATTCAAATGTCCTCCAGATATTCTTAATTCTAAGGCATATATTTTTACGTGGTAGACCCACGCTGCAGCTATATATTATAGTTGAATACCAGCGTAAAATAGCAGCGTAATGCTGCTGTGTTTCGTGTGGTGAGTGTAGAGAACGAACTTTTGAACGGCTTCACCGATTTGAATGAAATTGACGGCGTTCGAAAGATTTTCACCAAACTTAGATTTTCAATAGTGCTTCAACTAATTTTGATCTGTTGATTTTAAGAAATCTCAAAAATAAATCTTTCAAAAAATGTTTTTTTGGAATAAATTTTAAAGAGGTGTCACGATCAGCTCTTAAAAATGGAAAACGACGTCTATTGTTGCAAAACTCTTCAAAATCGGTTAATGCGTTGAAAAGAAATCGATGAAGAAAAATTCCGAAAAAAGTGTTTTCTTCACATAACTTAGATTTTCAATATTGCTTCAACCAATTTTGGACCGTTGATTTCAAGAAATCTCAAAAATAAATCTAAAATAAAAAATAAAAAAATAATTTGGGATTTATAGTCTAATACATTTATTATAATAGATTTTATTGTTTTTAAAATATTTACCTCGTCGATCAACCGAATCGATGTTATTGGTGGCAATAACATCAATATCGGTTGGTCAAATAATTTAAAATAGGTGTTTTTTTTTTAATAACATTAAAATTTCTTCTCAGGTCGTTTGTAAGGTAATGAGTTAACTATTATTTCGTAAAAATATGTGTTGTTTCTTTTGAGATAGAACATAGCGGGAAGTTTCATCGATAGCCTGCAGGGCCAACCGTTTTTCAGATTTTTTGCGATCAAATAGCGGAATTAAACGATTTGTTCGTAGTTTTAATGTGTACAGAAGGGGAGTAAAATAATCAATATAATAAGGCGTTTTTTCTTTAGTGAAACTCTTACAATTCATTTCACATTTAAGATCCCAAATTTTATAAGCTGACCGTTTAAGACGGAGTTTAGGATTACCAGATTTTTTGTATTGAATCGATCTTCTGGATCGTAATGGATCGTAACCTCGTG